CAGAAATACAAAGGATCATAAGAAAATACTATGAACAACTATATGCTACCAAGATGGATAACGTAGATGAAATGGACAAGTTCCTAGAAAAATACAACCTTCCAAAATTCAATCAGAAAGAGAAAACCTGAATAGGCCAATAGCTGTTGATGAAGTTGAAGCAGTAATCAAATGGCTCCCAGCACACAAAAGCCCTGGGCCAGTCGGCTTCATAGGGGAATTTCACCAAACATTCAAAAAGAACTAAGACCTACCCTCCCCAAACTATTTCAAAAAATCCTAGAGGAGGGAACACTTCCAAGCTCTGTTTACGAGGCCAGAATTAGCCTAATTCTAAAACCAGATAAAAACACTACAAAGAAAGAGAATTACAGGCTAATATCCCTGATGAACACACATGCTAATATCCTCAACAAACTGGATCCAGCAATATATTAAAAAGATCATACACCATGACTAGGTGGGATTTATTCCAGGGAAGCAAGGCTAGTAAAATACCCGTAAATCAATAAATATGATATACTACATAAGACAAATTGAAAGACAAAAACCACATGATCATACCAATAGATGGAGAAAAAGCATTTGATGAAATCTAACACCTATTTTTGATTAAAAACTCTCAGGAAAGTGGGAATGGAGGGATCATACCTCAACATAATTAAGGCCATATATGACAAATCTATAGCCAATATCATACTCAATGGACAAAAACTAAAACCATTTCCCCTAAGAAAAGGATCAAGACAGGGGTGTCCACCTGAAGTCCTAGCCACAGCCATCAGACAAGAAAATATAAAAGGTATCCAAATTGGAAAAGTTGAAGTAACTGTCATTATTTGCAAATGATATAATACTGTACACAGAAAATCCTAAAGACTCAATAAAAAAACTACTAGTTTTAATAAATAAATTCGGCACAGTAGCAGGATACAAAACACCCAGTAATCAATGGCATTTTTATACACTTTATAATGTACTCTCAGAAAGAGAAATGAAAAAAAAAATCCTCTTTACCATTGCAACAAAATATTTAGATAATTAGGAATAAACTTAACCAAGGACGTAAAAGACCTGTACTCAGAAAACTACAGGACATTCCAAAAAGAGACAGAGGAAGATATAAATACGTGGAAGAATATACCCTCTTCATGGACTGGAAGAGTTAACATCATTAAAATGTCCATTCTGTCCAAAGCAATCTATCAATTCAATGCAATCCCTATTAAAATACCAACAGTGTATTTCACAGATCTACAACAAACAGTTTGAAAACTTATATGGAACCAAAAAAGACCCCATATAGCCACCCAGTTCTGAGAAAGAAGAACAAAGTTGGAGGGATCACAATACCAGATATCAAGTTATACTACAAAGCCACTGTAATCAAAATGGCCTGGTTACTGGCCCAAGAACAGGCATATGGATTAGTGCAACAGAACAGAGAACCCAGAAATTGACCCACGCCATTATGGTCAATTAATATTTGACAAAGGAGGCAAGAACTTACAATAGAGTAAAAACAGTCTCTTCAATAAATGGTGTTGGGAAAACTCGACAGGGACAGGTACATGCAAAAAAATGAAACTATGCCATACACAAAAATAAACTCAAAATGGAGAAAAGACTTAAATGTAAGACGTGAAACCATAAAAATCCTAGAAGAAAACATAGGCAGCAAAATCTCAGGACATCTCTTGTAGCAATATGTTTGCTGATACATCTCCGAGGACAAGAGAAACAAAGGAGAAAATAAACAAATGGGACTATATAAAAATAAAAAGCTTCCACACAGCAAAAGAATCCATTAGAACGAAAAGGGATCCCACTGTATGGGAGAACATATGTGCCAATGACATATGTGATAAAGTGTTAATTTCCAAAATATATAAGGAACTCATACAACTAAACAAAAGGAAGACAAACAATCCAATTAAAAAAATGGGCAAAGGACCTAAATAGACACTTCTCCAAAGATGACATACAGATTACCAAGAGACATATGAAAAAATGCTCAAAGTCACTAATTATCAGAGAGATGCAAATTAAATTCATAATGAGGTATCACTTTACACCTGTTAGAATGTCTGCCATCAACAAATCAACAAATGACAAGAGCTGGCAAGAGTGTGGAGAAAAGGGAACCCTAGTACACTGCTGGTGGGAATGCAGATTGGTGCAGTCACTATGGAAAGCAGTAAGGAGTTTCCTTAAAAAATTAAAAATGAAACTGCCATTTGACCCAGTGATCCCACTTCTAGGAATATACCCTAAGAAATACGAAACACCAATCAGAAAGAACTTATGTCCCGCTACGTTCATAGCAACGCAATTTATAACAGCCAAGATCTAGAAATAGGCCAAGTGCCCCTCAGTAGATGAGTGGATAAAAAAACTGTGGTACATTTACACTATGCAGCTGTTAAAAAAAAAAAAAAGGGATCTCTTAACCTTTGGGAGAGCATGGAGGAAACTGGATAGTATTATGCTAAATGAAATAAACCAGTAAGAGAAAGACAAGTACCACATGACCTAACTCATATGTGTAATGTACTAAACAAAATAAACTGATGAACAAAATAGATCCAGAGACACAGAAGCATGGAATCGACTGAGGGATCTCAGACGAAGATGGGGGTGGGGGAGTAGTGGGGAGAGACTAATCAAAGAACTTATATGTTATAAGCATAACCCATGGACACACACATTGGCATGGGGAAGGCCTGGGTGTGGGGTGAATGCTGGTCAATGGGAGAAAAAGGGAGACATCTGTAATACTTTCAACAATAAATTTTAAAAAATTAAAAAAAAAAGTTCTCAGATTTTAAATTCTAACAGAGTACCACAAAAGGTAGACCTACAAGGCTAAAGAGAAACTATTAAGCCTTTAAGGCAAAAGAGAGATCCTGTACCTGACTCCTAGTGTCCCAACACCAAGCATTCCAGATCTGAAAATGTCTGGAAAGCTTATAAAAACAAAAATAGGCCTTTGTGAAGGTGGAATTTCAGTTTTTCTGGTGATAATCAGGTTAAAGAAAGATTCTGAAATAGAAAGGTCTGGCCTATATTTTCACTGTTTATGCTACCTACTCATAAGACGAACATTTAATAACAATAAGGCTGGAATAGCTCAACCAGGGTCCTTCCTGCAGCTGGGCTCCTAAGGGCATCTCAACTATGCCTTTGAATTCCATCTGCTTTGCTTATAATGACAATAATTCAAGTAACTTCTGTCTCATGAAACTCTACTGTCCCCACATGGCATGTTTCTTGCTTATTGGAGCTAAAGTCATGCTCAAGTTTCCAAGGACAGTGTACTTCATGGAGAAGAAATACAGATCTGTGTGGGACTGAGAAAGACCTGGTTTGCTGCTTCTGTGAAAACCTCCCAATGGGCATCACCCACAACTCTAAAGGAGCAAATTCTTCAGCTTTTGGAGGAACTTTGGACTTTCTGTGCCTACCGAAGTCTACTTACGCCACATGACACAGTACATTTATATTTTTAAATAGTACCCAATTAGAGATTGAAAGTCTCTTTAAAAGAGTGAAAATTCTTTCCCCTCAGGCCATGTATTTCTAAAAGCTGCATTTCTAGAACATACTAGCTGTATACACGAAGTTCCCACAAATATGAAAAAGATGAGCAACTTTTTTTTAATAGCTCGGGAGTTTTGTGACTGAAACAGCTTACAAAATACAGTGCACGAGTTCTTACCCGTAAGTCACCCTAGGGTGATACTAATCTGAAGGGAAAGCTGTAAGTTGCAAACCAGTGGGCAGTGCGCTGATCTGGCCTATTGGTGTTTCATCTGTCCACCACAGACTAAAAAATGTTGAATGGTAGCCAGTATTTAAAAACCTGGTTTTTTTTGGAACTAGCAGATGTAGTATTCGCAGGCTGGCATATCCTACACAGTAACAATTCATTGGAATTTGAATAGCACTGATCTTTAAGAACAGAATATGGGCTTCACTTATTTATATTACCAGCCTACCTCTTGTAGGTCCTTGACTTTACAACCTACGGTAAAGTTCTGGGAAGGCAGAATAAACAAACAAATTTTTGAGAGGGTAGAAAGCAAGAAGGGATTCTCAATTTGTATCTGTTTATCAGTTTATAAAACTATGGAGGCAGCTGGACGAACTTCAGAGGGAAGGAGGGAGTCGGGAGTGGGGACGGGGGAGAGAGAGAAATCATGAACTTAGATGTATATATGCATGACCTATGGACACAGGCAATAGTGTGGTGAAGACCTGGGGTGAGGGTGGGGGAGGATGCCAGGTGAAGGGATCGAAGGTGAAAAACAGGACATCTGTAATACTTTCAACAATAATAAAATGAATAAATAAATGTGTGTTTTTTTTTAAAACCTAGAAATTATAAAATGATAGCACAAACCCAGAAACTGTGAAAAATTAAAAGTTTTGACAAATCAAATTTCCATTAGAATTAAGGTATACTTAAAATTAATGTATTATTTTCTCCAAATGTTTTACACTTACCAACTAGCAGTCAACAAGCCTTAATAAAGAACAATCTATTATTCTATCATTCTGTTATGATACATGTCCTCCTCCAATTGGAAGTGGTTAGATTTCTACTCAGACCCATAGGAAAGAATAGTTAATAATTAGATCCCAAGTACAGCATCACTAATATACTCTTCATTTCTCTGGTGGCCATCACATACTCAAAAGCGTTTTACATGCTCAAATGAAATAAAAGCATTCACTGTTTCTGGGTTAGAAATGCTGGTATTAATTTTTTAAAAACAAAACCCCCCAAAATCTAAAGCACTAAAAAGTTATTTTGCAAATGTTAGCATCGTATGTATTTACTCTGTGCCCTGAAAGCCAATCCTTTTTTTACCTTTTAGTTCATATCCTAAATTCATTCATTTTTATAGTGTTAATATAAATTCCAAATTTCTCAATATTATTATTTAAACACACACTCAAATGAATAGATACATCTAGGAAACACCCCAACCACCTACCTTTAAACTAGATTCATAGTCTGTGTTCACTTTGAACATAAGCCCAAGTCGTAAATGAATTTCCTTGGCTCGACAAAAGCTGGGATCAACATAAAGCACCTCCTGAAATGCCTTAATTGCCCTTAAAGAATATAGACATAAGAAACTGTAAGATTCTAATATTTACATGTATTTTCTTTGGTAGGTCAAGATATGACGATTTTTACAGAAATAACACTTTTATGAAAGCATTATAAATAGTAAAAGACATTAGAAAATGATAAGGAATGAATTTCTCAAACTGTTCAACAATATCTAACTTTCACAACATTTTGAGTGTAAATAACCAATTTAAATTTTTCTGAAACATCACAGAAAGAGCATAGTAGGAAAGTTTTTAAGAGGATAAGAGAGTAAGAGTGTTAAACCTGGATCTATACTGTTCCATAGAAGTCAACTTTCAGAAGTTTTCCTTCTGCCTACCATATTTTGGTTTATGTTACAAACCTACTGTAAGTATGATATAGTACAGACAGTGGCTAGTATATAATTTTTCTATATGCAATTCCTACAGAAGAGAATTATCTGTGGAAAAAACCATTCTTGCCTCTACAGCAATGCAGTGCCACCTTTGTCATAAATCAATGGCCCATGTTTAGAGACTGTGTCTGACTTCTCCACATACCTCAACTGTCAGCCTACCTTTGTTCTAACTGTACACTGTCTTGTTTGTTTTTCAAAGAGGTGTTGATTATCAACAATGAAAATTCAGATACACTGGACACATTTTGAATGTTTCTTAGCATTTAAATTATGTGATTTACTAATGAGTATGAAAAAAGACAAAAGGAAAAAACTTTATTTTGATGTTAAGTGCTGTTTTCCCTAGTGATCACGTTTAGAATCTTAACATGTTTCCAACGACAACTTTATTTTTAATAGAAATGTATGTGCATACCATTCATACCACAATTTAAGAGAAAGAAACATACTATGTTTTCAGTAAGTCATTTAGGTTAAGTTTTACTTCTAAAATTGCATGGCTATATGTACATTTACTGCAAAATTGAGCATTTTAGGAAACACAGACATTTGATAACTGAAGTTATCAAAATTTATACACATTTTTCCACAAGTTAACCAAGTTAACATTTTCACATACATACAGGGGTTGGCAAAAGTATGTTTACAGTTGTGAGCATACAAAATTGTTTATTACTGTATTATTATTAATTACTGTATTAATTATTTGTACTACAACTGTAAACCTACTTTGGTCTAATGGTGTATTTAAAGGAATTAATATTTTCAATGTAAACTGACTTATCTACCTAATTCTTTTCTTTTCTTATCTTCAACCTAAAGAGGTTCATGGATTACCTTAAGTATGCAAAAACTGTGCAACATGAGGTACATGTCTCTATTCTTAAACTGTAAAGTTCTTTGTTCCCAGTCTTACAGTAGATTTCACATACATTTGTTTTGGCTAGCTAAAATTATTATATCTGTCTGAACTAACAACTGTAAATACTGATAAAAAAACAGACATCTTTCCACCTTCACAGAGCGCAAACTACAACAAATTATTCCATTTAGTGTAGATGTTAGACTTATTTCTAAACAATCTCCCTATAAACTTGGTAAGTCCTATCTCTAACTATTGTAACCTATTGTCATCTTTCCACTTATAAGTGATCACAAATCTACAAATACAATGTGACTGACAATTGTGCAAAAAATATACCACGCTAGCATATACTTTAGATTAGTAGAGTATGGTCCTGTTGGCATGGTTCATTGGTTGAACATCAATCTATGAACCAGGAAGTCATGGTTTGATTCCTAGTCAGGGCCCATGCCCACGTTTCGGGCTCAATTACCAGTAGGGAGCATGCAAGCAGCAGCTGATCAATAACTCTCTCTCTCTCCCTCTCCTTCCTCTCTCTAAAATCAATAAAAAATATTTTAAAAATTTAATAGAGCAGGGACCTGAACTCAAGGACTGCTTCTACCCCTAAATAAATGGTTAACAGCCATGGTCTGCATTGCTCAGTGTGAGAGTGTCAGCCTGCCAACCAGAGGCTCTCAGGTTCTTCCCAGTAAAGGGCATCCCCACCTGTGTTGCAGGTTCCATCCCCAGCCCCTATTGGGGTATGTATGCAGAAGGCAACCAATCAACATATCTCTCACATTATCGTTTCTCTGTCTTTCCCCCTCATCCTCTTCCACTCTCTAAAATTCAAAGGAAAAAATATCCTTAAGTGAGGATTAAAAAAATAGTAATGATAAAATAAATAAATAAATGATTAAGAAACATGAAGTAAAAATTAAGATACCTTATTTCCCCTATCAACAAAATGAAAGGATTAAAACTTTGTGATCTCTAAGATCTTTTCTAGTTCTAAAAGTTCGTAATTGTAAATTCTGTGAATAGGATTTTCAGGAAATTTACAGAGACCCTACCTAAAATCGTCCTAATCTAGGCTCGTTTTAAAATAAGATTCCCACAACAGAAGAGGGTGACTAAGTTTAAGATCTCTCAAAGCAATGTGACATTCAAGAGAAAAAAAGTTACAACATCTATAATCCACAAGTTTCTTTAACAAGCAATGCAACGCACCCAAACATGACATAATTAAAAAGCCCAAAGCCAATGAATTCAGAAAATTAGTAATCCAATTGCCCAACTAAAAGCTAGATTTTCACCTCTGGAAATGACAATAAATAGTGATTAAAGCAAATTTAAGAACTCCGTATTAGAACGACCTATACAACATGGTTATAAACATTGGTCTTGTACTCATTCACCTTCCTTTGAATTCTCTTAACATGTACATCAAAAAAACACAAGTCAACACCAAATAAGTTCTGTATACTTTACAGTACACAAAATCTTACATTATTACTATCAGTTAATCCTCAACATTGAAAGACATATCCTCTGATTACTAACTGAAAAATACTGAGAGTTTATAATGAGGGCTGAACTTGTAGAAATTTTAAAAAGATGCTACTACTGAAATGTGTATTTACTGATATTAAAATATGTTGTGCTTATTACACACACACACACACACACACACACACACACACACACACACACACAGAAAGCATCTACTGTAAGTCAACTTACCAATGAAATGCATTGTAGTAGAAGTAAACCAAACCAAGGCCATATAAAAAGACAGCATTCTGTTAAAAAGAATGGTAAACGTTTTTACATTTTAGGCTTCTAAGTTCTAAAAATTCTTTCACATCTTACATACTCTTAAAAGAAACAATCATGAGTCAACAGGTATCATAGAAGACTAAAAACTTGGAGAGACCTTTTCAGTTTCATTTTAATCAACTCTACAGGAAAAGGAACTTTTTAAAGATTCTAAAATTTTTAAATTGTAAAACCACAAAAAAAGAGCATGAAAAAACAAATAAACAAAGCAATCCAGAGAAAGAACAAAGCTGGAGGTATTATACCTCCTAATTCAAATTATAGCACAAAGCTCTAAAAAATAAACTGTATGGTATTGGCATAAAAATAAATAAACAAACAGGCCAAAGGGACAGAACAGAGAGCACAGAAATAAACCCCTGCATTTACAGTCAACTAATATTCAACAAAGGAGCCAAGAAAATCCAACAGCAAAAGGGTTGTCCTGTCAACAAATGGTATTGAGAAAAAGTGATAGACATGTAAAGTTTGTGTCAAAAAAATGAAATTGAACCAATACTTACATCACTCACAAAAAGTAACTAGAAACAACCAGTAAGTAAAATTAAACATAAAAGTTGGTACCATAAACCTCTGACACTTGTCTTACCAATAATTTTTGGGATACAATACAAAAAGTATAAACAAAAGCAAAAATCAAGAAAGAGGACAAAATCAAACTTAAAAGCTTCTGCACAGCAAAAGTAACAACATTTAAAAACAAACTACAGCCTGGCTGGGCGTGGCTCAGTGGTTGAACATCAACCTAGGATCCAGGAGATCAGGGTTCGATTCTCAGTCAGAGCACATGCCCGAGTTGGGGCTAGGCAGCCGATCAATGACTCTCTCATCATTGATGTTTTTCTCTCTCCCCCTTCTTTCCTCTCTCTGAAATCAATAAAGATAATGTTTTAAAAAAACAACAAACTACAGAATAACATAAAATCTATAAAAACCATCTACATAAACACCCAAAATATATAAAAAGTCAAACAGCTCAATAATAAACAAAAAACACACCAATATAATTAAAAGTGGACAGTCTGGCTGGTGTGGCTCTGTTGGCTGGAGCACTATCCTGTGTGCACTGAAAGGTTTCTGATTCAATTCCCAGTCACAGCTTGTTGGAAGGCAATCCATTTAATGTTTCTTTCTCACACTAATGGTTCTCTCTCTCCCCATCCTCTCTCTAAGCATGTCCTCAAGTGAGGATAAATTTTCTTTTAAAAAGTGGACAGAGGAACTAAATAGGTACTTTTCCAAAGATATCCAAGTGGCCAAGAGGTACATGAACAGGTGTTCGACATTTACTTAATTTTGAGATACATTTCAAAATCAGATTGAAGTATCACCTTACACCTGATAGAATGGCTATCAAGAGGATAAGAGATAAGGGCTGGCTAGGGATGCGGAGAAAAGGAAAACTCATCCACTCTAGATAATATAACAACTCTTTAAAACTTAAAAATAGATCTAACACTGATCCAGCAATTCCATTACTGAGAATTTATCTGAAGAAAATAAAAACAGGATACTGAGGTTTCCAGTCAAGAGGCAGAGTAGGTAAAGGTTCTGCTTGCCTCCTCACATGAGCACATTAAAATGACAACTGAACAATCACCCTGGAGAACAATTTGAAGACAGTTAAACAGAAATCCTATAACTAGGATATAAAAAAGAAGCCAAATGGAGAATGGTAGAATGGGTGAAGACATAAAATGGGCTGGCTAGTCCCACATCCACATGCAGCAGTTAAGAAGCTAGATGGATATCTCCAAAGCAAAAGTTCCACTTTGGAGGGAACCCAGGCCTACATTATGCCACCCAGTCCAGAGCATCAGTGCCAGGAACAGGAGTCCTTACAATGTCAGGCTGTGAAAATCTGACCATGATGCCAGTTGGGTGAAATAAAGGACTGCTGGAGACCCAGGTGTCCTCTGCACACCTCACTCAAATACAAACACTCCCCCTAACCTCCAGAGAATGGACAGCAGCACAAAAGGTGCCAGAGACAATAGAAAATAAACTGAACTGTGTGACCTCAGGCAAGCGCTTGAAGAGCAGCCACCACAGTTCCTTAGCTGACACCTCCCCACATAGTCTGCAGGCACAGGTAAGCACCAAATCTGAATTAATCAGGTGAACACCGCTCACCCCACCCTGGTAACTTCCTGAGACGCAGCCCCACTCAACTCATACACCACCCTAACCTATTTCAGCGGCTCGGCCTCAAAGGCAGATGAACTTGGCCCTCACTACAAACTTTCTAAAAACTCTCAGAGGCCCTTAGGCACCAAGAAAATGGTGGATGTCCTCAGTGTGCCCTATGCAATTGCAGAGAAACCTGAGGCCCCGCACTGGGACATTAGCCTTTGTTTAGAGTGTAGCCTCTCCCAGGTGCCTCACAACACAGGACTGGCAGCTAAAACTACCAGGTGACAAAGGACAGGCACAGGCAGCAGATGAACTTAGCTTGCACCAGAGGGCCTCCCAAAAGGTCCCAGAACCAAACACGAATGGATGACGTCAGATAACAGCAGAGAACCATCTGCTTAAGCTTCACAATCAGCATACCCAAATGATAGTTTTGGCAGGTAGGAAAGCCTTGTTAGGGCAAATGTCAATTCACTGGGTGAGATCCCATCTCGCAGCTTGTCCAATGTGGTCATAGCCAGACCTCATAGCCAGCCAGCCAGGAATTCAACCACATAACTAATATACCAACAAAAATCAAAGTTCAACTACAACAAATGGCCATCCCTGGAGCAATCAGTTCAGGTGACTGGAAAGTGTACACCAATGGAACCTACAGAACACCTAGTACAGAACACCCTAAGAGTGGGAGACTAAGCAGCTATACCTAATACAAAGAAATAAACCCAGGGAGACTCCCAAATGAGGAGACAAAAAAAGTGTCCCAAATAAAAAACTGGGCAAAACTCCAGCAAAAGACGAAACAAAACATCGATAGGCAATCTACTAGACACAGAGTTCAAAACACTGGCTATAAGGATGATCAATGAACTTAGGAAAAAGTGCATGAACTTGGTAAGAACTTGAACAAAGAGATAAAAACCATAAAAAAGAAGTCGGAAATAAAGAATACAATATCTGCAATGAAAAATAACAGATTAGATGAAGCAGAGAATCAGCAATCCAAAACACAAGGAAGCAGAAAACACCCAATCAGAACAGCAAAGAGCAAAAAGAATCCAAAAAACTATTTTTGGCTTAAGGGTGTGTACCCTGGCTGGCATTGCTCCGTGGTTAGAGCATCAGCCTGCTCACCAGAAGGTTGTGGGTTTGATTCCTGGTGAAGGGCACGTACCTGGGTTGCAGGTTTGATTTCTGTCCTGGCTGGAGTACGTGTGTGAGGCAACCAATCTCACATTGACTTTTCTCTCGCTCCTCCCTCACTCCCACCCTTTTTTACAGACAAACAAACAAACAAACAAACTATAAATGAAGGGTACCATTATAGGAAGACTTCAATAATCAACTGGATAGCATGATAATACCATGTGTTGGTACCAGTCAGGTTCTTTCACTAGCCACCTCTGTCATTGCTCCATAAGCTCATAACAAAAGTGGCCATACTGGCATAGACAAATAATATAGATTGAAATTAGGAAGGGTGGTATCTTCAGCTTTGTTCTTTCTCGGAACTACTTTGGCTATTTTGGGTCCTCTGTGGTTTCATACAAATTTTAGGATTTTTTCTATTTCTATAAAAAATGCCATTGGAATCTTGATATGGATTGCAACTAATCTATAGTTGAGTTTGCACTGTGTGTGTATTTTAACAATAGTAATTGATCTGTTACATGAAAAAAGGAACTTCTGGGACGACATCAAGTGTAATACAAATTGCCTCACAGTAGTACTACAAGGACAAGAGACAGAGCAAGGCACTGAATACCTATTTGAAGAAATAATGACTGTAAACTTCTGTAACCTGGTGAAGGAAACAGACATACACGCCCAGGAAGTGCAGACAAACCCAAAGAGGTCCACACCAAGCTACATCAAGATTAAAGACAAAGAGAGAATCTTTAAAGCAGCAAGAGAAAAATAGTTAAGTTACATATACAAGGGAGCTTCCGCAAGACTATCAACTGATTTCTCAGCAGAAGCTTTTCAGGCCCAAGGGACTGGCACAAAATATTCAAAGTGAAGAAAAAGAAGGATCTACAAACAAGACCACTCTACACAGAAAGGGTATTATTTAGAACCAAAGGACAGATAAGGTGTCTCCCAGACAAGAAAAGCCTAAAGAAGTTCATCTTAAAACCACTACAAAAGAAATGTTCAAGAAACTTAAGGAAATGAATAAAAAAATCACCACTTTTTTACTGTTAACAGTGTTACATGATGTGCCACTCCCACCTGCCTCTACCAGTCCCTACCCCATCCCCAGGCCTTCACTACCCTGTTGTCTGTGCCCAAGGCTGTGTATATAAATGCTTCAGTTAATCTCTTCTTGCCTCCTTCTCAGCGATATGTCAATCTTTTCCATTCTTCCATGCCTCTGGATTTATTTTGCTGGTCAATTTATTTTGTTCATTACATTCCAAATGTGAGATAATGTGATATTTGTCTTTCTCTGACTGGCTTATATCACTTAGTATAATAATCTCCAGGTCCATCCATGCTGTGGAAAAGGGTAAGAGATCCTTCTTTTTATTTTTTAATTTATCTTTATTGTTTAAAGTATCACAGATGTTCCCTTCTCCCCCCCTCTATCCCCTCCACCCCACATCCACACCACCTCCAGGCCTTCCCCATACTAATGTCTGTGTCCATAAGTTATGCATATAAGCATATAAGTTCTTTGATTCATCTCTCCCCACCCACTCCTCTACTGTTGACTTCCCTCTGAGATCCCTCAGTCTGTTCCATGCTTCTATGTCTTTGAATCTATTTTGTTC